AGTTTGTACACAAACCTATCCCCTCTTCAAGTTTGAACTGATACTTAGTATCGTGTTACAGCTTGTTAGTAAATCTCTTGTTCTCTCGTCCTGCTTCACCCGCTAAATCACATCACCTCACAAATATTTGGGCAACATAGATAGTGAGTAATTTGTTTTTATTGCTACTAGCCATGTCAGAAAAGTATAGCTGTTAACCTTTCTTATAGCCCGTGAGTTGTTCTGGTTTACTATCTCCACTGGCAGTATCAATTACTATTGACTTCCGAGCAGTTTTCCATACAGGACATGCAAGACCCGCATACCTTGCCCACTCAGGGCACTTCCGGTCAGCATTATGTCCTTTTTCCTTCCCTAGTGGATACCCAAATGTCTCGCTAACTATGTAATAAATTCAATGTCTGCAGCGGGGGTTTCCCCATGAGACCCTTCGTTCATTCAATACATCCACCGGCTCGAAGCCACACTAGTTTTCTCCATACGGCACACTGCTCTGTCTGTCCTGTGTTTGTTTCAGTGGGGGGGGCACGATATCCATAGCGATATGCAGGAATTTGTGGGAGACAACGCTAGGTGGTCTGTGGTATTTCTATTGCTCTTGTACCGGCATCTTCAAAATACGATCGCTTCGCAACAATATAACCCCTCGAACCCATGACCTTGTGACAGGAGTTTAACCTGTAAGGCATGTAGTTTGGTTGATTATTACTATCATCAATCACCTCAGTTCATAGACTAAGCACACGATAGCGCTATATATTGCGGGGGGTGGTCGCCATTGATCACCTATTTCCAGACCGCCCTATAGGTAAATTTCAGTAATCCTATAAGTAGCAGTATAAAGACTTAGCTCGAGATAAGCATTCGGAGATGGCAGATTGGAAGCATAGCTATGGAGTGGAATTAGAGGAATGAAAGGCCGAATAGAAAGTTCGGAAGAAAGAGAAGTGCACAAGACCAGACATGCATGGGCATTCGTGGACGGGCAGAGGAGGGAAGATTGAAACCGGCCGTCTATCTTCCATCCTAACTGCTAGTTGTGAAGTCGGAACCGTCCATAAGCAGTGCCATCCCCCCACGGGTTCATGGTAGAGATCGCCGTTCAACAAAATTTCAATTCCTTAGATTCAACTTCTCTATACGCAGCCCGTCATCGAATCTAGATGTGGTTCCCCGTCGGCGATCGTGAATACGTTTGACCGAGCGACAACGCCCTATTTAACTCCCCGACGATTACGTCAAGAGTTTCAGTATTATTGATTGTCGCCTGTTCCGTCTCGGTAGGCTCATTAGGAAAGCCATATATAATTCGGGGGGGGGGGGGGGGTTCCGGGCAAGTCACGTGGCGATATGAGATTGGGAGAAATCCCCGCCGAAGCTTGATACTCTGAATTAAGTTATGATAATATGAACG